ATCAAACGTTCTAAACATTTTTTTGGGACACCCTGTATTCACGTAGAGGATTTGCGCATTACTTTGCAATATATTCTTCTTCGAATTTGTAGGTCTTGATGAGCAGAGTTTTTGTATTTTGACTTCTACTTCTAAAGGAAAAGTCAATTATTTGGTTAGATCCATTCATACGATTTTTTCTCTCAGTAGATAAAATAATACCTGCAGCATCGAGCCCACTGAGAAATGTTCCACATGGTTTGATAGGATGGCTATTCGATCTGATTTTTAGGGTCTGATGTGTTGCACACACTGCTTGCAATCGTATTCGCCTACCTCATCACCAATTTCATGAAAGACAGGGTTGAAAAAATTGTTGCTGCTCATACCGTGTTTCTGGTAAGTTCCCTCTCGCTCAACTTTTTTCATCCGCTAAAAAAAGCGTTAGAAACTTATGTAAAAGTTTTTTCTCTTTATGTTTGATTTCTGGTACAATTTCAGTTTGGTATTAGAATGCAATGTCATTTTTTTCTTATCTCGACGTAATAATATGATTTGAGGGCTACCTCCTTGTGGCATACTGGTTTGAAGAGTCAGAAAGTTACGACATCAATTGGACTACGCCTTTTTGTGTGCTTGTACTCCGATTTATAGGTCTAGTGATGGATGTCTACGATGGAGAGCACATGGTTGGCACACATTTTCTAGAAACTGCATTGAAATTATCTCATGTTAATCGTTTAGGCCACGCTAAAACCAGATCAGAAGAAAACAGCTATCCAAGATGTCCCTGGATTGCTTGAAATTGCTGCCTTCGGTCTTTTCTACACCGGAACCTTTGCTGGACCTCAGTTCACCCTGAGCAGATTCCGATCGGTGGTCAGAGGCGATTGGTTGGATGAGAAACGGCAGCCTAGAGAATCAGCGTAAGATACTACCTTCTTCAATTTGATCGGTAATCTATAGCTCGTGTTATAGTCAAAATGCCGCGATGCGGCGTTTTGTTGGTGGATGCATATACATGGCCATAAATCAATTTGGATCCGCATGGCTGCCAAATTCGTATTTCAACAGCCCTGAATTCTATGTAAGTTATGTTTTTTTT